CTGACGTGCGGCCCTCACTACAACTGCTGCTCCCCCTACTGGAAGATGTGCATCAAGGACTCGGACTGCTGTGACGAGTATCACGTGTGCCGGCCGGCGGACGGCTTCATCTACGACCGATGCCTCTACCCGAGCGCGGCCAGCCCGACTGCGGCCCCTTCGTTCTTCTTTCCCCTCCTCGCCACCACCACAACCACCACCACAACCACCACCACCACCACCGGACCCACTCGCTCCTGGACGCTATTCGCAGCAGCTGTAGTAACGGCAGGGGTGGTGACGGTAGTGGCAGAGGCTGCATCCGGTTCCCAGCTCGTGTGGGCGGGGCTTGTTCTGTGGGCGGGACTTGCGCTGTGGGCGGGGCTGGCGTTGTGGGCGGGGCTTCTCACCTGTCTGGGTGACGTCAGGTGATGCCGGGGGCGTGGTTTCTGAGACGCGTCTGTTGTCACTGAACCTGCCTTGACCTCCCCACCTCATGAGGAAAACCTGTGCTAAAATACATCCACGATCAGCTCAGTATTTCGTCATTTCTATGTGTGGGACATACAGCCACGAACGATCAGCTCAGAATTATGTCCTCTCTATGTGTGGGACATACATCCACAATCAGCTCAGAATTCCGACATTTCTATGTGTGGGACAGTTTTTAGTTCAGAATTATGTCCTTTCTTTGTGTGGGACGTATAGTTACGTCTGATCAGAATTTCATCATTTCTTTGTAGGACATACAGCCACAACCGATCAGCTCAGAATTATGTCCTTTCTTCGTGTGGGACATACAGCCACGAACGATCAGCTCAGAATTATGTCCCTTTTTTATAGTCACGACCGATCAGCTCAGACATATAGTCACGATCGATCAGCTCAGACATATAGTCACGACCGATCAGCTCAGACATATAGCCAAGATCGATCAGCTCAGACATATAGCCAAGATCGATCAGCTCATAATTATGTCCTTTCTTTATAGTCACGACCGATCAGCTCAGACATATAGTCACGACCGATCAGCTCAGACATATAGTCACGACCGATCAGCTCAGACATATATAGTCACGACCGATCAGCTCAGACATATAGCCAAGATCGATCAGCTCAGACATATAGCCAAGATCGATCAGCTCATAATTATGTCCTTTCTTTATAGTCACGACCGATCAGCTCAGACATATAGTCACGACCGATCAGCTCAGACATATAGTCACGACCGATCAGCTCAGACATATATAGTCACGACCGATCAGCTCAGACATATAGCCAAGATCGATCAGCTCAGACATATAGCCAAAATCGACCGGCTCATAATTATGTCCTTTCTTTATAGTCACGATCAATCAGCTCAGACATATACCCAAGATCGATCAGCTCAGACATATAGCCAAGATCGATCAGCTCATAATATGTCCTTTCTTTATAGTCACGATCAATCAGCTCAGACATATAGCCAAGATCGATCAGCTCAGAAGTTCGTCATTTCTTTGTGGGACATATAGCCACGATCGATAAGCAGATCATTACGTCATTCCTCTGTGTGCGGGAGGCTATATCATATGACGTCACCCTT